TTAGGTATAATAAAGTACTAAAATAATTTAGAAAGAAATAAGCATTGTATTAAGTTCATCTCAGGCAGGATCGGCAGGGTCTTTGCTAATAGTTTTCTTTGAGTTGTTGTTAGTTTTTATTTTGATGAGGGGAAAAACAAACACAAGTTAGCACTGAGTGGAGCTCTGGTGATTCCTAGTTGATCTTGCGGTACTCAGAAAAATGAATCATGCATTCCACTAGCTTTGGTTTATGCTTCCCAAGCTGAAAAGACTTTCAAAACCAGGTGCTAACCTGAGTGAAGCAACCCATATATGAGGCTATAGATAGTAATAAATGTGGCAGAAAAATCAAAGCATGTCACACGGTGTTGGAAAATCATGTGATTTTGAAAACCCAGTAAGTTTTTCAAGTGAAAACTCTTACTGGAAAAAAAAAGTATCGAGATTGTATGAACACTCTTCCACCATTGGGCTTCCACTTTGTGACATAAACTTATAAAAAACTAATGAAAGTTTCACATCAAAAATTCATTAGAGTGGCAACTCGCTCTTAAATTCTCCTTTCTATTCCTTTCTTTCCAGTTCATTCATTCCCATTCATTTCCTTCCTCTGAAAACTATTTCTCACAGAAAAGGCAACTGCCAAGGACTGGCATAGTCTCAAGGCTTACATTTTCCTCTGTTTGCCAAATGGCTGTAATTTAATTCACAAAGCACTGTTTATTGAGCAATATTATTAATGGGTAGCATAATACTGTGAATTGAAGACATTCTTTTTGGACTATATCCAGGTCTTTAAAAAGAACACCATTTCCAATAGAAAATGAAAGTCTTATCTTAAAATGTATTATTTTACTAAGCAGAACAACATGAAAAGCACTAGAATAAATATATTTTCAGATGATACTAAGACAACATTTTTCAGACACAGAAGTCACCACATGTATTAAAATACTTTGAACGATAACAAAATGAGAATGTCATGCATATGAATATCATTATAAAATCATTTTTCATTTTTAACACATTTGAAAATATTGTGAGACTAAGACATCATTCAACTTAATAGTCTATTGAATTTTCTCACTCAGCCATATTTGCCAAACTTTGTTAATTGTATTTGTTGGGTTTTTATCCCGGCTAAAGTCATGACTTAACAAAATATGACAAGGAGTAAAATAACACAAGTCTACTTCTTCATTTCTGTTTTCAAAAGATACTTAATGTCCAAATAAGAAGCATTAAAATATATTCTCAACCTAAATCGCAGCTAATTAACTCACTAGTTCATAACCCAGCGGTCACCACCTGAGACCAAGTCTAAAAAGGCCGATTTGACTTCTGAAACCAATCAAGAGCCTTGATTCACTTAATGCCTCTATTTTTAAGGAGAAGCATGAAATCACCGAAGAATCGTAAAATATGCAACACTTCACTGAGAGCAATGAGAGAGAAAAAATAAACAAAGGGGCCAGGATAGCAAGAGGAAGAGAGAGGGGGAAGGGAGAAAAAGGGAAGCAGAGACTGAGGGATCAACAAAACACAGGAGAGGGCGAAACAGCAGTCAGGAGAGGAACAGCTAGTAAGATCACAGGAAAGCGCCAGAGCTAGGGCAGGCTGGCATGCTCTGGATACACTCAGCTCATTCCATTCCCCACAGAGCATTTCTTAATTTGGTGGTTAGCTGGTTTGGGGAGGAAGGGCAAAGTTTATGAAAGAAATCACTGATTGCCAGGTCAGGCAACAAGTGTCCATCTTAAGTGATCATCAGAAGAAACCAGGAAAAGCAGAATAAATGTCATTTTAGGCTGGAGGACAAATCATCCTGGCAAAAAAGTAAACACACTGAGGCCCGGGGATTTAGCTCAGTGGTTTCACCATCCACTGTGCACGCGCAAGGACCCGGGTTCAATCCCCGGTACCACCCCCCAAAAAAAGTAAACACACTGTTATGGCTCAAGAGTCAGTCAATTCAATTAACTTCATTTTTGTAACAATATAGTCACCAATATAATCAAAGTTATTAAAATTGATGTGTTAGAAAGATTTTTTTCTCATGATATAGTCATCAAATTAAATTGTAAGACACTAGACATTTGAAATCCAAAATGATGTAAAAGATTTCTTTACAGTAATTGTTGACTTGTGATCAAGACCAAATGTATAAGGAAAATAAAATGAACATCAGTGTAAGCATTGGTCTGGGAAACAAATTCAATGGGACAGCTAAAGAAGAATACGGAACTTTTGGTTTGCACCCATAAAAATGGAAACCATGAACAAATTGCCGGGGATTTAGCTCAGTGGTTTCGTCGCCTGCTGTGCAAGCTCAAAGACCCGAGTTCAATCCCTGGTACCAAAAAAAACCCCAAAAAATCACATAAACAAATCAATGCCTCTGAGCTGAAACAAGAGTAGTCCCTCTTTATAAATGTACAAGCGGAAGTCTGCATTTTAGACAATGTTCGTGCTATTAAACTACACACATTCATATTATAGTCAAAAGCAAATTGGATCACATTAAGAATCTCAGAGGGCAGAAATGCACTTTGTCAAAAACTTGACAGATGTATTTTTAAAACGAGATGTTCTGTAATTCCAAAACAAACTGCACAAAGAAATGAATGGATTCATCAAACACAAGCGGAAGACACTGTCTAGTAGGTAGAGAAGGTCTCAGGTCCTCCAGGGGACTATGACACAGGGCGACTGTTGAAAAGCCAACACACTTTCATGTACAGGGGGTGACTGAAGGATACAGTGGATGTTTAAATAACAAAAAATTTATGACAATCAAAAATCACATTGCCAAGAATGATGGGATAATTGTGTTTGAAGTGAGGTATTTGGGTATTTTTTGATTAATGCAGAGTGTGCCTGTTGCTACAATCAATTTTTTTTAAATAAACATTTGCCCTATTTTCTCATCACCACATTGATCAGGCACTTACAGAAATTTCTGTCAAATAAAAACATAACATGATATTGTCATCCACCTTCTTTCTTCACTGAATCTGGTGCCATGAGATTTCTGGCTCTTCCCCAAAGTCAAAATGACCATGAAAGAGAAACATTCTGTTATTTTTTTGTTGTTACTGTTTTTGTTTTTGGTACCGGGGATTGAACTCGGGACCTTGCATTTGCGAGACAGGCAGAGGAAACACTGAGCTAAATCCCCGGCCCAAGGGAAACATTTTGAATGGATTCAGGACATGGAAGCAGCCAGACCAGTGCACCTAAAGACACAAAAGAAGACTTCCGGGATTGCTTCAGAATAACGAATTGCAAGAATAATGGATGAGTGTGTTGGAAGCAAGAGAATATTTTGAGGGGATTAATGGCAACGTGACTTGTATTATAATTTTAAAAATGTAAATATCTATCATATTTTTACCATACCTCATATAAGTCCACATTTATATAACAAAACGTATATAACCTAGTCTAACACTTATCATTGGAGAATTGCTCTTTTGAATGAGAGCAACTGTGCAAAGTAGTACACTGTATTTGTGACTCAGATTTTAATAGACATGGTCAAATTATTCTCCAAAAATATTGCGATAATTGGTAGTCCTGACTATGATATATACAATGTTATATTCTTGCAAGGCCTACTGGTAAATGCTATCGGTCTTTAAGCATTCTGCTAATTTAAGAGATTGAAACAATATTTTATTATAATTTGTACTTTCCTGATTAAAACTGAGGCTGGGTAAACTTTCAAGGGTTTACTGAATATTCGCTTTTCTTCCTTTCAAAACAATTTGTTTATGTTTACTCTGTTTTATTGGCTTGTTATATTTTTCTTAATATTTTAAGAGCTCTTTGTATACTGGGGACCTTAACTCTACTTTTAAGTATGATGCAGGCCGGGAATTTAGCTCAGTGGCACCGTGCCTGCCTTGTGAGTGCAAGGTCCCGAGTTCATTCCCCTGCACAAAAAAAGAAAAAAAAAATGATGCAAATATCAGTCCCTCACTTGTCACTGCATGGTAGTTATGTTAGTCCGTACAGTGTCCAACATTTTAGATATTCATATGACAGAATACATTCACTTCCTTCTTCACTCCAGATAGATTTGTCGCTGTTTGTATTTCATTTGTTTAGCTTATCAAGGCCCTTCACTTTGGATGTTAAAATATTCCTCTCAACTTTAATAGATTGACGGTTACTTTTACATTTTAGTGTCGTGTGACACTTTTGTACATGCTAGGTGGTACATTTTCTTAAAATTTCTAATTTTCTTTAAAATTAGTAGGCAATTACCTAAAGCACCTGTCGAGGAGCCCCTACTCCCTGTGTTCACTATTGCTATGAATGTCAGAGCTGCTGTACCCTTTTACATTGCTGTGGTTGATGCTCATGCTGAATGCCTCTATAGACTAGCATCTGTCAGTTTTACAATGTTTTTTCACTTTCCTGCTATTCCTATAGGCACACATAATTTCCACCTAAACTCTGAGATTTCCCTGGACAATTAAAGACAAACTAATGTAAAATAACTCCCAAGTCATTTAACAACAGATTTTCACATTAACTAAAATTATTGATGTTAGCAGTAAATTAATCTTGATTGTCTCAAAACACATAAAGCTTGCCCTGCCTCTAAAAACCCTATGTTATACTTACTTTTAGGCCAATATCTTTTAGAAATAGGAACCAAATAATTTTTTTAATTTAGCATCAGGCTATTCAAACAGTTTAAATATTGTTTCATGAAATATGATCGTGCTGATAAAACCCAGGAAGAGAGAGAAAGGAAAGAAAAGCCTTACAGCTTTGTTTCAGTTATCATTCTTTTCTGATTATTTCTAAAAGCACAATTTTTTACTTCATTGGTAGCACTTATTTTCACCACTGGAACTTTCTGTGAAATAACTGACATTCTGGGTTTATTTTCACGTATACCCAGAAGGGAAACCAAAACTAAGTTCACTGAATTCGTGTTAACTGTATCTATTGACTGATGATTGATTGATTGAGTTTTAGATTTCTGTGCATAAAACAGCACTCACGTGAAGTCCCTCGGTGAAGCTGTCCGGGGAGCAGAGACACCTGTATGGCCGGGTCGCTGTGTCACACCTGCTGGCATGACCGTGGCATTGACACCTGTGAACAGCAACATCACCAGGTCAACCGGATCTGCTTATAACCCTGTGACATTACTCACATGTGACTCCAGCTAGGAAGACAAGTACTTGTGACCGACATGACAGTCGGTTCCTCTATCATCCTGTGCTTGCTCTGAAAAGTACCAAATCACTCCCGAACCACTGGAAGGAGTCACCAATACCCAAACCACACTGTGTTGCAATGGTCATTTTCAACCCCTCTGGAAAGGGGGTGGGGCTTGTGCACCTGTCCCAGCTGTGTGGCAAAGTCGTCAAGGAACCTCACCTGCTGAAGCTACTCCAAGCACAATTTCAATCTTTCGTTATTTCCCCAAAATCAAATGGTGATTACTGGATAGTATTACTTTTTTGCCATCCTATTACTTAACAAACCAAGCATTCATATGGGTATCTAGGTCTGTTTTTAAAGGTGTCCGTCATTCACTAGCATATCATTCTCTACAACTCTTTCTAATTATATCTGTGTGTAGACTTCCATATTAGTTACTGCTTAGTTCTGCACTGAGCTTTGTTCTCAGTTGTCATCACAAATTTACAAACTACTAAGGGCATAGCAGAGCTTTCCTATAAAGAACAGCATGTGTTCCCTAAGGAACTGTGAATTTGGGAAGACCAAGCCTTATATGCATGAAGTGTCTCGTATGCTCACTGCATCCCCAAATCAAGCTCTTTTGCTTTGCCTTCAACAATACATGAAAATCACATTCCATAACAAACCAAGAAAATGTACACAATATATGATAAATCATATCTGAGTTAAGTTTTATGTATCATAACTTTTGTGGAGGGCTGGCTGAAGATGGAAACCAAGACCTTGCATATGCTAGGCAAGTGCTCTACCACTGAGCTCCACCCTTCCACCCTCAGAGAATCCTCTAAACCCAATAGCTTTAGAACATCGATTCTATAGCAAAGCTATATAATATGCAGAAAGACTTATATGCACACCTTCCTAAAAGATCTTAGAGTACAAAATCATTTCAAAATATAAAGCATAGAATATACTTTGCTCTAGAGATTTACCACATTTTAAGTATGACAAAAACTTCATTAAAAACAAAATTCATAGTGAAATCCTCCAATCTCAAGCTTGGTGATCAATTCTACCTGCCAGCAATGGTGATTTCAGCCACCGCGTAATATCTGTGTCTAGGGTTGACAGCGGCATCAGCTGTATGGTACTGCCCTCGGAAATGAAGCCGTATTTGTGTGGCTTTTATGAATTCTTGAAGGGATGGGGTATTATAGAAGTCATTGTATCCAGGACGATGCTTTGGTTCAGGTGTCAGGATGCTGAATGTGACATTACCACGGGAATACGGGGTAAACCTAGAGATGAAAGAAATTTGCTATCAACAAGTCTATTCATATTTTTGGCAAAACAAAAATCACAACTTTAAGGTCTTACTACAATATCAGCAAAAGCTTAGATTCTTTATCCTGAGGATATAAATATATTACATATCATTTGTGGGAAAATAATGCAGGACCGCCACAGAAAGCCATACACACTAACCATTTGTTCAAAAGCCAAAAGAACCTTCTATTAATGGAGAGCACTTGCTAAATAATCTGAAAATACAACTGCAAGACACCAGTGATATTACAAACAAAGAGATACTCTAAATAATTTTAGAAGAACTGTGAACGTACTTTAAAAGTCAATTTAGAGAAGAGATTTATGAGAATCTACCCCAACAACACTGGTGAAGGTGAGAAATCTCCAGCTTAGTAAGGGCTCTAACCTACAGGTGAGGACTAAGTCATCAGTTAATTAACATTAATTGTTCTTAAAATGTTCCTACTTGTCAAGCTGAAGACAGTTGACAGAATCAGGATTTTCCAAATCTCCATTGTTTTCCATTCCAAAAGCACTACAATTTCTAGCAAAATATTGCCAGTCCTCCCAATCCAAGCTGTCCTCCTTCTTCCTTTGAATCTTTATTGCTGTTGGTTGTGGACTAAAGAACTGAATGACTATATAAAACACCTGAAACGGACATGATAATTGTTATAGTTGACGGTTAAGTTTTATACATCAGTATAAATCAAGGCACACAACTGTTAGATTTAAATACAATGGCTCACTTGCTCATAGTTACAATTATCAAATATTTACTGAACATCCAGAAACTTCACAGATCCACAGTAAAACAATACACTTTTCTAATTGAAAAAATAGTCTCTCTTTTCATGGATTTTATAAATCAAACTGCAAATTAATATTAAATCTGCTGTAAAGACATAAACATACAACATTATTCCCATGATTATTACTAAAGCTAAAAAGGTAAAAAGTAAATTACTAACACACTTGTAAAAACAGCATAATAAAATAACTAGCAGAATTAATATAGATTTGATACTGAAATGGTAAATTGGAATAAACATAATAGAAAAAAAAACCAAATATTGAATCTTTGACCATCAACCAAATGCAAAAATATATGTTAACAATGAATTAAAAAACTTAGTTTTTGCTTCTCACAATGCAGTTTTGTGGATGTTTTGCTTTGTTTTGTTTGCCACCATAGGGATCAAACCGAAGGTTTTGTACATGTTAAACAAGTCCTCTACCATTCAGACACAAGGTGGGTATTTCAAAAGAAAGAAGAAAACTGACACACACCTCCAAACAAGGAAGGGGGTCCCAAGAAAATGGAGACAAAAGCTCCTTGGTGAAGTCACGATTTAAACAACACCAGGAGTCTCCAGAAGGTGGAGAGGGAAGGGAAGATCCTCATGAGAAATACTGGAGGAAGGCTAGCACTGCCAGCACCTTGATTTTGCATTTCTGGTCTTCAGAACTACATGAAAAGTCATTTGCGTTGTTTTAGAACGTGAAGTTTGCAGTAATTCCAAGCAGCCCTGCTGTTCGTACGTACCTGGTACTGTCCGTTCTCCAAATCCACTGAAATTGTCACTCCTCCATCAAGCTGGGCATTGTTGGCAAACACATGTGAGACCCACGAAGTACCGACATCGTTATCATTGACAAAAGAAAGAGGGTGGGCGTTGGGACCCAGCCTTAACACTCTGTCTCTGACCGTGTCCCCTGCTCCGTTGGGGACGCAGTACTGCTGTAGCAGAGGGTGGACGCGGGGGTGACTGCCAGGGCACCGGCAGTGTGACTGGACGTGCAGCCGAGGCAGACCTCCGGAGAAGACTTCCAGAACCTCTCTGTAGGGACCAGGAGGGAGGCTTTCAGGGCGGATCACTTAACAGTAAGAGATTTTCAAAGCATCGCCACACAAGAATATCGCTCTTCTCCTGCTTTGATGAGTAGCCATTTATCTTAATAATTTTCTAAACAGAACATAAAATCAAACTTGTTCTTGGCCAAATTAGAGTCTTCATTCTCGTAAAATATGTTTGGAGAACAGTACATTTTTCTGTTAACTTTTCGCATCAAGAAGCATGCACACGCCCTCGTCTGATTATCAAGATAGGTATTTAAATATAATAATTCACTGTGTCTGTTTGTGGTTATACAGAAGAACATCATGTCATTTACTTCATTAGTTAAACTGGCTTACTGAGTGTGAACAACAATATACTGAAAACAATGAGATTTATAAACAGGATTTCCAGTTCATCCATGAGAAAGAAGGAGAAAGCAAACACCACTTTCTCTGCTTCCCTTTCAGGAGAAGGGGATTGAAGCCAAGACCATTTGTCAATGGCTTCCTGTGACTCATCTATAGAGTTTCTGGCATCCTGAAATGTTTTGGTGGCTTTGAATCATGTAGCATTTGCCAAGAGTCAAAGAAGAAAGCCAATTCCAGGCAGATATATTTAATGTTGCCATTAAGGGTGATGTACCCGTTCTAGATCAGGATTAGTCATGCTATTTATAGGTATCTCTTCCACATTGTACCTTTGCAGCCATTCCAAGAGGCCAAAGTCAGCAGCCCAGATCCTTCTAGAAAAACCAGGTTCCCCCTCAGATCCCAGGGGGACAGTGGAGGGGCCTGGCAGCTTTTCCATTCATTAAGCCACATGAAGTGACAACATCTTTAAGTCTCATACATACTTTTCAATTGATACCAGTTTTGGGGTGAGACCTAGTCACTATCCAATATGCAGTCTTTGTCCCCAGCCCCAAGATAAGCTTCCTTCCCAAAGAGCTACTGAAGCATTGTTCTTCAGCATTTCTCAAACAAAGGTGACCTGAAAGATACTAAGGCCGGGTGCAGTGACACTCCTCCCAAGTGTGTTCCTATGTTACAGCCCCCTCTGCTCAGTCATCTCCTGATTACGTCCACTAATAAAGTATGAGGTTACAATTGATAGGAATCTCACAGACCACAGCACTAGCTCAAGAGCCATTTTCCCCAAACCTACAAGAACTAATCCTGTCATTTGGAAATTCACCATACTGATCTAGAACTCCCTTGAAGAAGCTGAACATTCTACTTTCTGGCCTTAAATAGAAGTAAATGAATCAACTCATCCATGCAACAGTATAGGATGTTATCAGATGATAAGTTGAGAAAGATTTTCAAGGGTTTTCTTCATCAGAATTTCACCTGACCTTCTCTGAGCAGACGGGAAAGTTGTGTGCTTTAAGAAGTCCTAAAAAGATCATCACCTATTCTCAAGATGAGCAAAGTTTTCATGAAAGCTGGCCCAAGTCTATAAGGTCATTTGTTGACTGGAAATAGGAAAAAATATAACAATACATCAAACATTCATTCTTTTTGTTTCCAAGTCTAACAGGCCAGTCACTTGAGACTTTCTCACATATCACAATAATCATTTTCATTGTGTTACATTCTCTGGTAATTATAAATTCAATAGGCAATTTTAAAGGCACATACAAAGGCAGATGCTTCAGTATTAGAAACTACTTCATATACGATGTTTAACAAATGTATTCCAAATTTTATAAAAGGTTCACAAATCAAGTTTTTTTAGAGAAAACATGTTATAAAGAATTTGATCAACCTCATATTATAAGGAGTTACCAATAGGATAGTGCTGGTGAGGAACTACCACACCATAAGCCAAAGCTAACACTTTAAACATTAATTAGGTGATATTTGCCAAATGCTGTAAAGGTGAAAAATGCAATGATCATCAATGTAAATAATTGTTATTTAAGTGAATTCAGCATTTATCCTTGCACTTTTTGAAGTTCTCAATGCCACACCTATTTACCTGTTTGTAAGTGCCACTTGGTATAATCGAAAATCTTGCATTCTTCCAACAAACTGTTCTAAACCTGCAAAATATACATATGCAAAATAAGAGATGCCTCGGTCTTCCAAGCAATGGCTGAAAAATATTCAAGTGATGTTCCTTTAAAGCTACAAAGCTTTAAGCCATGTTTATGTCATTGCCCTTTCAAACTCTTAAAGATCAATATCCATGTTCTAAATTCACATGAGTAATGAAAATAATCATATTTACGTCAATAGACAGTGCAAGGCTGAAGTCAAAGGGAATACTTTGACCAGCTTATCTACTGACCTAATCCATGGCTTTTCTTCTCAAATCAAATTTCACTCTAGGTTATAAACCTATCTCTCATTTCATAGGCCCTTAATTTGATTGTCATCTGCTTCCGATGGCAATTTCCAGATCATTTGCGCTGATAAACTGAACATACCCCACCCTTACATCCCACCTATTCTAGCTCAAAACTCCAAAATACCTGTTTGGATCCTTTACAAAGTCAGGTTAGTATATTGACTAGAAAACCTCTAAAAACTGAAGAGAAATCAAAGTCTACTTGTGAGCTCTGAGTTACAGATTTCAACAGCATTCTAATTCAATTCTGAAACTTCATCACCTTTTGAGAGTTCTTCTAAGACAATTAGGTTCAAAGTGAAATCTATGTTGAATTAGATGACCTTTCAAGACACAGGTAGATATTAACTTTAATCAACATGGGATTATTTTATTAATTTGTTTATGAAATATTTATCTCATACTAGCTAAGACAGATAAGCCCAAGAGAATGGAAACAGAAAATTACCATCTCTAATTTTTTGATGTTTTTAATAACGAGAAAAACTTGGCAAAAAGTAAAATTCTAGTGAGAATTTTGATAAAATGGAACACAAAAGGCGATGGGTCTTAATGTAGAATGCTAATTCAGTAATTAAGCATTTTTAAATGACATTTACAGTAATGGCTAATTCACCAAATGATCATTTCCCCAAATATGTTTTTTCCAAACTATTCCATGTTCACAGTATCTTGATAACAGTTTTAAAAGAATGTTTATCATTGTTGCTGCCTCTTCATAATGACTTTGAGGAAACTGGGCAAAAGATTAGACTAATCAATAAAAGATGGCAAGTAGAACTACCACACAGAACATCTCAGATGTTAATACGAGAAGCAGGAGGGGTCAAAAAGAGCAAAGAAGGGCCGAGACTCACAGGCATAAAGAATACGTGTCTGCCTGAGTGGGGCATTGCACATGGAACTCACGTGTTGATTCATAGTTAAAGTCAGATTGAAGAAAATAACCATGAATATGTTGCACATGAATATTTCTTCATGCATGTAATTGTTTTCAACTGATACAGTCTAAGAAATAATTTATGTATGGGCACTTCCTCTGCCTCCTGGGCCCCATCTTCCGCACACCCTGCAAGCCAAGGCCACCAGGAAGATGGCATCCTCCACAGCCTTCTGCTCAGACTTCCTGTAGCCAGAGGCTCCCCATTCTAGCTGTCCCAAAGCAGATACCCAGAACAAGTGCAAATAACTGATCCTTCGAGTCACATTATGAGGTCAAAACAAACAAAAAAATCTATTAAAAGTCTATAAAAATTGTTTAGATGGTTTCCAACATAAATTATTTCAAAATTTATAATTAGCTAAAAGGAGTAAGAGAAACCTGGTAAACTATTTGCGCCATGAATTAGCCATGGAAGCACCTTGGTGTGTGGCACATTCACCTGGATCCAGGATCTAAAGCCAAGCAAAGCACAGGGTGGGGTGCGAGGAAGGGAAGACTGTTCTTAGAGACAGAGGGAGAGATGGGAAGAAGGTAGGTAAATAGAGCCAAATCTGAGCTTCTGTGGTTTCATTTGGTGATGAGTAGGGAAGACAAACTAAGAAAATCACTCTTCACAGTATGAATTTGCCTTGTAAGGTAAATGCTATCTGTCAGGAAGGAAAGAAGCTGCATTGGCCTCCTATTGATGCTTCATCTCCATTGCATCCCCAGTCCTCGTCCTCCCAGCATCCTTCACACTGCAGCTCTGCAGGCTACGCTTTTAACACCCCATATCTGCCATGCTTTCTCAGCCCTACGGTTTTCTGCTTGATTTTGCCTCTGCTTCAAATGTTCTGCCCGATCCCAGCCCTCCAACTCTCAGCTTTCAAGTATGTCCTGTGGGGAACTGTCTGAAGCTCACCATGGCCCCACATCCTCTTGCAGCACTGCTTTGCACCTTGCTCTTTTTTCAAGTATCTACTTACTTCTCTATCTTACTTAATGAAGAATGAAAGTGTATTAAATAAGCTTCTCTGGCAAGACACAGAAAGTAGTAATTGGTCTTATTCAGTCCATAACCAAGGTCTTGGCACGTGATAAACTGTTCAATAGATATTTCATGATGAGGGAACGAGGGAGAGGGAAACAGGAAGGCAGAGAGGTAATTGCAAAGTGGACTCAAAAAGACAGATAAAGAGCTATAATGGCTTCTATAGAGAACTTGCGAAGGGTTGATCAGGGGAAAATATAGAGCTCCTCAAGAGGTACTTTCAGGGCCATCGGGAATAAGCAATGGCAAAATTGCATTGGCCTAAGTCTGTAAGTTAGGTGACTTCCCCAAACATGCTGAGAACCCAAAAGAAATGTCAGTTGATGGGAGGTTTCCAGGGCTGAGAATTTTCATACAGAGTGCATCAAAACAAGAGGAATATAAAAGTAGTGTTTCAGAAGAAGAGAACAGCTGTACCAGCTAAGTTTGAACTAACTTAAGTGGCCAGGAAGGTGAAACCAGATGACAAGGGATAAACCAGGAAAGAAAGGAGATGAGGAACTGGTTATCTCAGGGAAGTCAAAGAAGAGTGTCCTGGAACTGAGGAATCAAGATGTGTGAAACTAGTCCAGCAGTCACTTCATTATAGGTAAGGGGGAACACACAAGAGACAGTCACATTGCGCCTTTTCACAGCATTGATAAACGAAACAGAAAGAAGTTCCCACCACACTCGAAGCATGTTTATCCATGAAGAAATTCATCCTTCTGGGCTGAATTGTGAAATCTCAATTCTCAGTTTTGCATCCACAACATCTACAATGTCCCCAGAACAGCTGCGCTCAGACGTAGAGCTGTTGGGAGGTGATCGGACCACAGGGGGCGCTGTATTCGTCGGTGCACTCATCCGCCATGAGCTCAGCAGCTGAGTATGCTGTTCAAAGGCAGGCCTGGCTAGAGGAGGGTCCGTGGGGTGAGGTCTGGAAGGCGCGACCAACTCCCCGGGCTCCTCCCTTCTGTCTGCATCCAGGTCCCCAGCCAACAGAGAAGGGACTAAGACACCAATACTTGTGAATATGACTCGATTCGCAAACAAGTGCTAGGTGATGTAATGAAACAAGGATGAGATCACTGAGGAAGGCCCAAATCCAGTATGACTGTGTCCTGTACATGTGAGAGGAAATCGCCACTTACAAACACCCACAGGGAGAAATCTGAGATAAGAGAAATTGAAATGATCCAGCTACAAGGCAGAAAACACCACAAAGCTAATGAGAGTCAAGGGAGGATTCTCGTCCATAGTTTTCAAACTAAGTCTGGCCCAGAAGCCACCTTAATGTCGGCCTTCTAGCCTCTAGAACTATGAGACAGTAAATTTCCATTATCTTATGCCACCTACTTTGACATTGCCACCAAAAGAAACTGTACAATCATTTCCTGTTGTTGTTACCATAAAACTTATCAAAGAGAAAAGATAAATTTTTATAACATGTATTCCATGTTATCCAACTTATTTTCTCAGTATTAAATATTGTTGAAAATGTTTTATAGGAACTCTCTAGGGAAATTTTTTATCTCAAGGAACCAGATTATAACAAATAGAAGATAATCACTCATGATTTTGGAAGGCCTACTATCACTGCGAGAGAGCAAAGATGATGAACACTGTGATTCTGTCAAGGCCTAACCATGGGTTTAAATGTCAGGGTGACTTCATTCTTTTATGTGTTTATGCATTCACAAATATTTATTGGGAGTCTATTATGTGCCAGACACTTTCATGGCTGCCAAAGATACATCAGTTAACAAAAGAATATCCTTGCTTTTATGAAGCTTAAACTGAAGCAGAGAGATAATCATAGTAAATAAGAAACTTATATAATGCATTCAAATATAATAAATGCTATCAAAATTGTAAGTGAAAAAATTAGCATAGGTGTGAGAGAGTGGGTGGATTTTATCTACCTATCAAAAGAGCACTCACAGACAGGAGGTGACTCCCATAGTGTCCAGGGACAACGTGTTCCGGGTGCACCAGTGAACACACAGACCCTCCAAAGCTTGGCCTGTTAGAGAAGCACAAGCAGCCAGCTTCCTGGTGCAGAATTAGAGAGGGTGGCCCCTGGAAGAGCAGGTCAGACAAGTGCCTGACGTGTGGGGATGGAACTACAAATTGTTATAGGGCCATTGATAGGATTTTGGTTTTTATTGTGAGTAAAATGAGAAGCCACTAGTGGGTTACGGGTAGAGGAGCAACATGATCACAGGTTGTCTTGAAAGTGTTGTAAGAAGATTGCAAAAGAATGAGGGCAGAAAAAGAGAGGCGCATTAGAAGGCTATGGCAGTCCTCCAAGTGAGAAATGATGGTAGTCAGAGCAAGGTGTTAGAAGTGGAGGTGTAGCTTTCAATGCAGATAATTTAGAATCCACTTCCTATATTTTAATAATAGCTGAAGGGAAGTTCTGCTGCAGTGGGATAATGAAATCTATTTTATCACCTATAAAATAAAAGGGCTGGGTTTTATAACCTTTAAAAACCATTTTAGTTTTAAATTCAGGAGTCTGTGATTGGATGATCATTACTGCTGCTACAGAATTCATATTTGAAGGAATTTCTTTTTTAACAATTAGAGGAAGTTTTCCAAAGGCCTAGCGCTAATGTGAATCATCCATCCCAAACAAGAAAATTATGATTTGGGGGGATGAGGAGAGTGCTATAAAGTATTTCAAGGGCACAGTTATAGGGATATGATTTACTGATTCTTTTGCTATTTGCCAATT